TCAAAAGAAAGAATGTTCATGATGGTCCTTGAAATATTGTAAGATCTTGAAACGCCTTAAGAATTATAAAAGTCTAAATAATCATCACTGCAGATTCAAAGATAAATATATTTTACTGTATCTCAAGATTTGGAAATTGGCAATTTCTTACTTTTTTTAATTCAAAGAATATTTATTGAGCCCCTGCTTTTCCAGATACTATGCTAGGTGCCCAGGATAAGGTGATGAACAAGACAGACATAGTCTCTGCCTTCAAGGAACATAAGGTTGACTGGAGGCAATAAACATATGTACTGTGTTTATTAACGTATGTCCAGACAAAATAGTCTGAGCTGGAGAATAATGGGGTGAGGATACTTCTTTGTCAGGTAAGGACTCTTCCACACAGTAACATTTACATTGAGAGATGTAGGATGAACAGGACCCAGCATTATCCACGTTGAGGTAATAGCATGCACAAAAGCCCTGAGTTTGGAAAGAGCAAGGGAATTTGAGGACTAGGTCATCAGTGAAGAGAACAGTACCAAATGAGGCTGGAGAGGGGGTAGGGGCTAGTTTAGTCAGGGCTTCTAGGCCATAGAAAGGCTTTTGGATTACATATGAAGTACAATGGGAAACCATGAAAGGGTAAAAGCAGGGGAGTGCCATGATTCACCTTTTATTTTAAGAAAAGCTCTCTAGGACACCTGGGTGGGTCAGTCGGTTAAGTGTCTGCTTTCGGCTCAGATCATGATCCCAGGGTCCTGGGATAGAGCCCCACATTAGGCTCCCTGCTCAGTGGGGAGTCTGCTTCGCCCTCTGCCCCTCCTCCCCCAACTCATCCACTCGTGCAGGCATGAGCTCTCTCTCAAAAAAAAAAAAAATTCTTTTTTTTTAAAGAAAAGCTCTCTAGTGCCCAGTTAGGAAGCTGTTGAGGAGTCTAAACCAGGGTAACCTGAACTAGGATTACAGCAGAGGAATGGAGGGCAGGTAACACTGATATGACTTGCTGACTGGATGTGGGGGATGGTGCTGAGGAAGACAGGAACATCAGTGTGATGCTTGAGTTCCTGGTTTGAGCATTTTGGTGGGTGCTAACTGAGACTGGGAAGAGCATGAGAGGAGTACATTGTGGTTGGGAATCAGGCATTTAATTTGGACATAATAAGTTACAGGTGTCTGTGCAACATCTAAGAGGGAATATAGAATAGACAGCTGGCTACACAATCTAATGTTAAGAGAAGATTGGACTGGGCATACAAATTTTAGAATTATCTGACAGATACGTTCAAAGCGAAGAGAATGGTGAGATCACCTAAGGAGACCTTATAAAGAGTTGGGCAAGGAGGGCTCACAGATCCCAGGATTAAGAAATCAGGTAGAAACAAGATTTGAGAAGGGATTTATAAGGAAATCCCAGAGAGTGTGAGGGCGGGGAGGCCAATGAGAGTGAGGATTTCAAGAAGGAGAGAGTGGTCAGCTATTGGAAATACCACCAAAAGTTGAATTAGATGGGGAGAGAAAAGGTTTCTTCTTTCAAGTTCTTGCTGAACTTGGTGAGAGACATTTCAATGGAGGGTGGAATGGCAATTCATCAGTAACTAGGACATTTGGTCAACTATCCATAATATCTTCTTCAAACATTTTGCATAAATGAGATTGAATCTAGGTGCTATCAATCTCTAAGTGGCTCAAGGAAACAGTTGGGAGACCTCAAGATTGAGTTAATATGCTTATGGTTGTATAGCTCTCTGGTTCTTTGTTGCTATAACAGGGACCAAAGCTTCAACGAACATAAATTTCTAGGATGCTTCGGCATTTCCTCATTGTCCAAATATCAATGTCAACCTCAGGCTTAGGAGATAAATATAACTACATTTTTATTTATTGTTATTTGTGAATATGTAGAGCAAACAATTATAATAGCAGGTAATTTTTATGAATACTTAATATGTTCAAGGATCTTTACTATGCTTTTCCCAGGTGTTAAATAATTTATTGCTAGTGTTATTATCAGTTTTCAGGTAAATAAATGAAGGCTTAGTGAAATTACATAACTTGTTCATAAGTGACAAAGTCTGGACATGAAACCATGATTTCCACCACTATATTACACTGCTAAGTTATCAACTCTAAATAAGAGTTGCTTCGGAAAAATGTCTCTTCATGTCTTCTGCCCATTTTTTTAACTCCATTTTTTTGTTTTCTTGGTGTTGAGCTGTGTGAGTTCTTTATATATTTTGGATATTAACCCCTTATCAGATCTATCATTTCAAATATCCTCTCCCTTTCTGTAGGTTGCCTTTTTGTTTTGTTGATGGTTTCCTTTACTGTGCAAAAATTTTGTTGACAGTTTTGCATCTGTGTTCAAGAGAGATTTGCCTGTGATTTTCTTTTCTTGTAATATCATTGTCAAAAAAAAAATCATTGTCGAGTATGGTGTAATAATTTTGCTGACTTAATGATTTACTCTCTTTGCCTATTCTCTGAAAATTTTTTTAAGTGAAAGTTCAGTGATAATTACTGCTTAAATATTTGGTAAAATTTTCTGATTTAATCCATCTGTACCTTAAGATTATTTGCATGGTAATTTTTTATTGAATTTTTAATGATTATAATAGTGTAAAACTTACTTTTTTTTCTTGTTTATGTTTTAGTAATTGAAATCCCTTTAAGTAATAAAAATTTCTAGAAGATAAGAAATCGCTACTTAAAACTGCAAACAAAGGATCTCTTCAATAATTAGATTAATATTTGTGAGTTCATTTATTTGAAATAAAATTAATTGTTACTAGCTGATTGGAAATAATAGGATAAGTTTGCAAAGTCATATGAGGATTAGGACTATATCTAGATGAAAGAGTTCAAAAGAAATAAGGCATAAAACCAGATGTTTGATATTTAGAATAGCACATACGATTTTAGTATTGCAGTTGCTGCTTTTAGCTATTCATCCAGAAATATCTAAAATCTTGAATTAATTTTAAAATGCTGATCTTAGGGTATTTTGCACATGCAGAATACCAAAGAGGATGGCCTTGGTTTTTTCCTAGAGTGTGTACTGACAACATTTAGACATTGGTATGACAGACTCTTTTATATTTGACTCTTGAGTAAACTTTGATAGCAAATAAATGATTCAATATTATTTGCATATTTAGAAGTCTTAGAATAGCTATTCCAATAATACTGCAATTGTTAAATACACTGAAGGAGCCATTATATTTTTACTTGCAATTTATTTCCATGTTTAGTTATTTCACTATAAAATTAATTTAAGTAATATTTAAGTTTTCCATTATAGGGATTCTATTTACTAAATCTTTTATTGTAATACCTATAAAGTAGTAGTCTATATTTAGAAAGACAAATGATTATGGAGGGTAACACATTGTTAAATCTGATGCCAGTGGTAGGCTCAGGTGAGGTAGGCATGGCGTATATCCATTTTTCTCTTTGAACAGAAGGAAAGATTGCTTTTCACGTGTCTAGTAATCCCTCCAGTAGCAGTGATTGTTCCAGTAACAACATAGTTAAGTTTATAGAAAATGTAATATCAGTTGAGACAAAATATGTAACACTAATATTCAGAAGAGAAAATAGAATTGTGAATAATAAGATTATATTTTAAAAATATAAATCATTGTATATGACACCAAAAGAACAGGTTAGAAGAAAAATAGGTAAATTGGATGACATGCAAATAAAAAAACTGCAGCAAAGGACACAATCAAGAGAGTGAAGGGGTAACCCACAACACGGAAGAAAATATTTGCAAATCATGTCTGAAAAGGGGCAAATATCCAGAATATATAAAGAACTCCTAAAATTCAACAACAGAAAACCAGATTTAAAAATGGGGAAAGGATTTCAATAGATATTTCTCCAAAGAAGATATGCAAATAGATAATAAACATATGAAAAGATGTTCAACATCACTAATCCTTAGGGAAATGAAAATAAAAAACACAATGAGATACCATCTTGCACCCATTAGGATGGTTGCTATTAAAAATACTACTACTACTAATAATGTTGATGAGGATGTGGAGAATTTGGAATTGTTGTGCATTGTTGGTGGGAATATAAAATGGTGCAGCTGCTATGGCAAACAGTATGTTCATTACTCAGAAAATTCAAAATAGAATTTTCATATGATCCAGCAACTCCATTTCTGGGTATGTACCCTAAAGAATTAAAAGCAGGGACTTGAACAGGTATTTGTTCATTCGTGTTTATAGCAGCATTATTCACAATAGTCAAAAGCAACCCAAGTGTCCATCAACAGATGAATGGATAAACAAAACATAGTATATACATACAGTGCAATATTATTCAGCTTTAAAAAGGAAGGAAATTCTGACACATGCTACCACATGGATGAACCTTAGGGACATTATGCTAAGTGAAATAAAGTCACTAAAGGATAAATACTGTATGATTCCGCTCATATGAGGTACCTAGAGTAGTCAAATTCATAGAGACAGAAAGTAAAGTGGTGGTTTCCAGGGGTTGGGGGAGGGAGAAATGGGAAGTTAGTGTTTAATAGTTACAGAATCTCAGTTTTGCAAGATGAGAAGTTATGGATGGTAGTGATGATCACACAATAATATGAAGGTACTTAATGCCACTGAAAAAGATCGTAGATTTTATGTTAGGTGTGTTTTACCAGCATTTAGAAATATATATATATACATATATATATACACACACAAAAATCATTTTAAGTGGTATAGCTTTAAAAAACACATGTTAGGAAGAGAAAATTTAAGGCATAAGAGGCTTTGTGGACACTGATAATTAGGAACTAATCAGAAAATATTTTTGGAGCTTTTTCATACACATTAAGGTATATATTGTGTTATTATGTATCATTACATATATAATCGTATATCCAATTATATAATTATATATATTGTAAAAATCTATTGTGTTCTCTTTGGTGATGAGGGTTTTCTAGAGATCATGATGAGAGGAACCGTATACAAGAAGCTCAGTTCCAATATTTTGTTTTGTTGCAGATCTGTGGCCACTTGTTCACATGGTTTCGAGGCACAATGAGGCATGCTGGCTCTTGGAAACTCTGGCTCTGGGTGGCACTGCTTCTGCTTCCGGCTTCCATTTCCGTGACTGTCAGGGACAAGTCAGGTATCCAGACCGCCTCTTTTGTCCAGTCACTAAATGTTATTTATAGCCTTTCGGTTATTTTTAAAATCATTAAAATAAGTTGTTGGGGTTGAGGAGGCCATAGATTAAATCTACTAGTACAAAATAAATAATTCATTGTTTTTCCCCATTGACCTTTCATGTTGCACATTGAGAATTTCTAAAATTACCTCATTTTCCCCATATATATATATCAGTCTAAATAGACTTTCTTTTCTCTCATTGATGTTTATAAATATAAATTTGTGTGGATAATTCTCTGTGTGTATTTTTCTCCTTTTCCCCTCTGTTATAAGTTATTCAAATTAGAAGTACCTAAGTCTATTGCTAATTAGGTTTAACCAGGAACATACTTAATCTTAATTAGGGAAAAGCAAAAAACAGAATAGGAGATATAAAAAGAAACGTAGTTTAATTATATGTAAGTTCTATAGCATCTCAGATGAAATGAACAAAAGATTAACAGTTGTTAGAGCACTTTTTTGCACTAAATAGATAATATTTATTTGCAATTGTTAAATTATCAACTTCACAAATGTTTCCAAATGGCTTGAAGGCAGTTTGAAACATTTACTCTCACCTCTGATTTTTAAAAATGATTATGTGGCTAATTTGGAAAACTTTTCTTGAACTTTGAGTTGTAAATTACTGATCTAGATGTACTTCTAAGTCAAACTAGACACACTGGAGAAGACATTTGCTAAGCAAAGAGAAACTTCAACTCTCCTATGCAAAGGATCACATAAGATATGTTCTGATGATGGTCACATATGATGATGTATTCTGAAACTCTGAGTCTTATTGTGCTTATTCTTTTGAATATATCTTTAATAAGTTTTGCTAGGCAGGTATAAACACAGCCTGGTAGAGACTTTTGAGTTTGAAGCACACATAGAATCAAAGCAGTCTCTTATAAAGATATAACAAGTCTTAGTCTCTCAGCGTTATGTCTTTATGACTTTTAAATTAATTTGGCAGGAGGTGCATTTCCTAATAATCCACGTGAAAGTTTGAATATTCTACCGCTGTATCAATGATATCCTGAGGCTGTCATATTTTTGGGGGGAAACACTTTCTTCAGTGAGAAATAAATCAGAATTGACTCATGACAAAAGAAAGTCCATAGGTCAAGGAGAGTTCATTCTGATAATGTTGAGCTCTTAATTTCTTTATGTTTCCTCCTTTTAAGAACACTAGTAGGTAATGGGATTTGCAACTTACACAGAGAGGATAGGACTTCTTTGGTTAGAAAGGAAAATGAATCTTTGGTTGAGCAGGACACAGTTCCTAGGGACGTGCTAGTGTATAATAAATGTTCTTAATAATGTTTGAAGGATCTACAATAAATGTAATTCCAATTTTAGTTTGAGCAGAAATCATCTGGGGTATTGATTCCTAAATCCCACTCTGAGATTGTCATTATGCAGGATAGGCTGGGGTGGGATTCAGCAATTTACATTTTTAACAAGCTCCCCAGGTGAATCTAATGCAATGTGTCTGACGAAGACATTGGGAGAAACACTCACTTTTGGAATAATTAATTGACATTTTTTTCTTCTTTTTTTCCTTTTCCTTCTTGGTTATCTTGCATCTTATGCTACCAGATTCCCTTTGTTTTATCTTATTTTATTTTATTTTATGTTATTTTTGCCTCTAGTAACTCTTTTGAAAAAAATTGTGGTAGGAACACTTAACATTAGATCTCCCCTCTTAAGAAATATCTAAGTGTGTAATTCAGTATTGTTGACTATAGGCACAATGTTGCACAGCAGATCTCTAGAACTTAATCATCTTGTGTGACTAAAACTCCCCCATTTTGGGATTCCCCAGGATGTTTTGCTTTTGCAGCTTTGGTATTTCAATTCTTTAATCATGTTATATTGTATGTAGGACTCCTGAAATGCATATATTCTGGTCCAATTAACTGTCCCAAATTGATCTTTCTAAAAGATTTTTCTAAGAAGTATGAATTCAAAATTAATCTGAACTCTAACAAGATACACATAATATGAAGCACTGAGGGAAATTAATACAGACAAAAATGAAGAGTTGATTTTTATCAGGCCGTTTGAGAGAGTGTTCCTGAAGCAACACGTACTGAACGTGCCATGGAAATTGCTTAACTTCAGGTATCGTTCTCATTAATTGAAAATGTCAGCACAGCACTGCCAAGGGATTATTGAAGAATATGACACGCTGGGCATGGCCTGACAGGGAGCTGTTCTTGTGTCTTGTGTCTCTGATTCACAGTGCAAGGTTCCCTTTTTAGTTTCCTCATGTGCAGACCTGCGTGTGTGGTCACTAACCATTTACCGGAGGGAAGTGATTACATCTAAAAATAAGATATAACAAATCTGAGGGAGAGGCTAGGGTTTCAACTCTGGAGTTTGTGGAATTGTCAGCAGTCTACTGTTAAACCTAAATATACGAAGGATAAATTGAGCCTTCTAATTGCTTTATTTTAACTCTATGGTATGCTTAATGATACTTGGGATGTTGTTCCAGTTGGGACGGAATTCAAGAGTAATACAGAAAGATTCAATACAACTTGAATTTTAAAATCTTGAAGCTATTAAGAATTCAGTTATTTCTGGGCGCCTGGGTGGCTCAGTTGGTTAAGCGACTGCCTTCGGCTCAGATCATGATCCTGGAGTCCCTGGATCGAGTCCCGCATCGGGCTCCCTGCTCAGCAGGGAGTCTGCTTCTCCCTCTCCCGCTCCCCCCTCTTGTGCTCTCTCTCTCTCTCTCTCAAATAAACAAATAAAATCTTTAAAAAAAAAAAAAGAATTCAGTTATTTCTTAGTCTTATCAGTTTTACTATTATGTTGAGATTATGAGTTAAGGCATATTTATATATTTTCATATTGCAGATAATCAATTTGAATGTGGCAGTTCAGCTCAGTTGTCAAAAGAGGGTGGGGAAGAGAACCATATTAAAAATATACATTATGCAGATCTTAAAACTTGTTTTAATCTGTTTCTTAAAACTTTCTGTTATGATAGAAGTTTATATGTTGAAAAATTAAAGGTTCCTCTTTTTGTTCTACTTTACTAAATCTGGTCTAAGGCCAAAGTACTGAGTTACCATCAAAAATAATAAAAACAGCAAACCAGAGTAAGGAAAAGCAGCAAATCCTCCCCCCACCCAGGGGCTCCTGGGTAGCTCAGTAGGTTAAACTCCGACTCATTCATTTTGGCTCAGGTCATGATCTCAGGTTATGAGATGGAGCCCCTCATCAGGCTCTGTGCTGGGTGTGGAGCCTGCTTGAAGTTCTGTCTCTCCCTCTCCCTCTGGTCCGCTCCCCCTCCCCCACCTAAAAAACAAAAAACCAACCTTGATAAAAGGAGAGATAATAGAATGCCATTTCTTTTTCTTATGGTAAAACATCAGGTTAAGTGTCTAGATGGAATTGATTATAAACTTAGGCCCTAGACCATGTGCATATACCTTTTAAAACTAGTTTTCTGTAAATTACAAGGAAAAACTGTTACTCTGAAATTTGGCTTTAATTAATTGACTGTGTACACACTGCACTCTTAAACTCAGAGTAGGAAGTATGCTATCATATAGAGAATTTTATTTTGTGTTTTTAAGAATTCCTCATATTCAATATGGTGCCATATAACTGACAAATATACTTTGTAACTCCTAAATTTTTGAAGTGGAGGAAAGTTCCACAATTATTAAATAAAAATTATAGCTCCTAACCAGGTGTTCTTTGGAGGAATAGCTTGGTATTAAAACAATGACAACAAACCCGCAAGAAGCTGTGAGGATTTTGTGACCTTTTGTGACTTTTTTGTTAAAATAGCTGTGTTCTCATTTCTTTTTTTTTTTCTTGGTCACTTTTCCATATTATTTTTATTATATTTTGGCATGATGACCTTTACCTATATTTGTTAACCAATGTTTTTCTCCTCGCACAGGATACTCTATAATCCTTTATCAGAGGTGTTATCCAAGTACGAAATATACAGGAGGCCTGCAGGGAACCAGGAACAATAACATAAAAAGGCCTGCTTCCCCCTCATCCCAACAGAGAGTCTGTTTTAGCCTTTTTTTTTAAAAAAATGTGAAACACCTAAAGTTTCTTCTTTGCTCTGTTTACGAAAACAGACCAGTACTGCATCTGTGGGAAATTGCTACTCTTCACCTTCCCGATTCTAATCTTGAAGCAAATGCCGTATTATGGGTTTTGTCACTAACAGTAAGGAAAACAATTTTCCTTAATGGATGTTAGAAAAGAAGAGTGATGGGGGTGCCTGGGTGGCTCAGTTGGTTAAGCGTCTGACTCTTGGTCTCATCTCAGGTCTTGATCCACAGTCATGGGTTCGAGCCCCGAGTTGGGGTCCACACCCATAATCTACCCAAATTGGACCTAGCTGCCCTCCTTTCAGCAACCTTCCAATCTGGTGAGCTGCCCAGGTCCTTCAAAACAGGTCAAGAGGAAAGTGGGTCTGACAATCACCGACAACATCTTAGCAGGAATTTGTCAGAAACCTTTGCATTTGCTTTTCAAAAGGTCTGTCGATTAAGGGTCCCCAAGTAGTACATCTTTTGTGGTGAAATTTTAGTAATTACTTTTGAAATATTCCAGAGAACCTTGGGAGTTTCACTGCAGCAGTGATTCTCCTCTGTCTACCTGATAGGATATTTGGATCTTATCAGTAGTTCTTCAAGGTACATGCACATTTACTCAAAAACTGTACTTTATTTTATATTAAAATCTATGTGTCAATATTTATAGAAGTTAACACATCCAACTTGTGATAGCCACATCTACTGCCTTGCCATTTGTATGTGATGGATCTCTAAGATTCATGCATTCAGATTATTATTGTACCTTGAATCTTACCCCCAATTAATTAATGTTTAGTTTTCCTTTGTTTTGTTCAGATTTTCACAATAAAGCACATGTTCTAAATATGTGAAGCTATATTTGATTTTCATAAACTAAAGACTTAAGTGGGGAATTACTTTCATGAACATTGCTGGAAATGTTGAATTCTGTTCATTTCAAAGTGACAGGGTTATTACTTTGACGTCATCATATATTCATTAAGTCTTTGGAAGAATTTAAAAATAAGACATATACTGTTTCCAGCTTGATGGTAGGCCAGCATACCTTCCCCTCATGATGAAAGCATCTTCGTAGGAACTCCCTTTCCACTGTCTTGAGATTTGTTTTGTCAGACATCTGTTGGGCTTTCCCTACATATGTCGTGGAGAATCTAATCTTGTTTATTACCATCATATAGTCATTCAAAGTCATTATAAAAATTTGATCAGAATTTCAGTTGTTTTGTTTTGCAAGAATGATTTTTAGCTTGTTTTCTTACAGATATGCTGTTTTCTTCATGTTGAGGTACACACTAAGGGTCAATAAATCTTAGATGCTCAGTGTAGTGAATTTTTACATATACATTTATACATCTGGGTAACTACCACTCAGATCAAATTATAGAACATTTCCAGAACCCCGAGAAGGCTTTCCTGTATCTGCTTTCAGTTGACATCCCACCAAGGTAACCCATACCTTGACGTAATTTAGTTGTACAGTCTTTTGAATTTCATATAAGTGAGATTATGCAGTCTGTATTCTTTTGGGAATGGTATTCTTTCTATTTAATAATGTATCTGTGATATTGAGGTTGTTGCATGTGTCAGAAGTTTATTCTTTTTTATTGTACAATTTTTCATTGTATATACCACAATTTATTCATTTATTCTTTTGTCAGTGAACATTTGGATTGTTTCCAGTTGTATACTATTATCAATAATGCTACAATGATTATTCTCTTCTAAAAGGGTTATTTACACTCATTTTTTTGGTGCTCATTTTTCTTGGGCTGTTGAATTTCCAAGCCATAGAGTTCATGTATATTTAGCTTTAGTAAACACTGTCAATTTTCTAAAGTGGTTGCACTGATTCCCACTCCTACAAACAATGTGGGAGAGTTCTCTTGCTCCACATTCTCATCAAAACTTGGTGCTGTCAGTTTTTTAAGTTTTAGTCATTTAGAAGTATCTCATTGTGGTTTGACTTTGCATTTCCTTGATTACTAATGATGTTGAATACCTTTTCACATGTGGGTTGGCAATTTGGATCTTCACTTTTGTGAAGTGCTTAAATATTTTGTTCATTTTCAAATAGAACTTTCAATATTTTTCTTTCTAATTTGTGAGAGTTCTTTGTATATTCTGGATATGATACATGATCAGATATATGTATTACAATAGTCTATGGCTCTTTTTCATTCTTTTAATATTGTCCTTTGATTTATAAGTATTTTAATTTTAATGAAGTCTGGTTTATCGGTTTTTTGTAATTGGTGCTTTCTGTGTCCCTTTAAGAAATCTTTGCTTCCTCAAGTTCATGAAGATCTTATGTTTTTCTGTAGTCCTTTATTGTTTTATCTTTCACAGTTAGGTTTGGTATCATCTCTAAGTTATTTCTCTGCACGGTGTGAGGTAAGAGTCAAGGCTCAGTGTTTTCCTGTGTGGAGATCCAGTTCACCCACAAACATTTACTGGAAAGACCATCCTTTTCCCACTGAATTACAGTGGCTCCTTTGTGGTAAATAAGAGGACCACATATGCACAGGTCTGATTTTGGACTTTCTATTCTGTTCCATTGATGTCTTTATATGTGCGCTAATCCCACATTATAAAAATTTCTGGTATCTGATAGTGTAGTGAAGCCTTTCTTCGTTTTTGCCTTTACTATTCTAATTTTTTAGAGTTCCATATAAATTTGAGAATCAGCTTGTCAGTTTCCCATACGCTGTTGGGATTTTAATTGGAATTGTACTGAATCTAGGGATAAAAGGAGAATTGATGTCTTAACAATATTGAGTTTTCCAGTGTAAATACTTGGTTTATCCCTTCAGCTATTTAGGACTTTAATCTCCCTTGGCAGTGTTCTCTAATTTTCAATACAGTGATCTTGATGAGATGCTTGGTTTTTATAAAAATGACTATGATTTTGGGTAAAAATTTGGTAATGTTTACAAAATATCCAATTTTACTATCATTTCAGACTTGCAGTCCTGTTAAGATCTCTGAGATAGGAATTTCCATAGTAGCTAAGTAATCTCTAAAATTATTCAGTACTACAATTTCACATATGTATATTACAACTTTTAAATATGATTAAGTGGCAGTGCTATTAGAATCTGATTAATTTTTCTAGTTACATATATTTAGATGATGCCCTGTCACCACCCCTGAAGTCCATGATACATTTGTTCTGGAGGCAAGGAAGCTTGAGATCAGGGTTTCAGCATAGCCAGGTTCTGGTGAGGGCTCTCCTCCTGGATTCCTTATATGGTAGGGAGTGGAGGAGCTCCTGTTTCTCCATCCCCCTGTAAGGACACCAGTCCCATCAGGAAGGCTCCACTTGTATGTCCTCATCCAAACCTAATTACCTCCCAAAGGCCCCACCTACAAATACCATCGCATTGGGGATCAAAGCTCCAACATATGAACTTTGGGGGGACACATTCAGTCCACAGCAGTCCTCTTCCAATCTAAAGTTTAATATCATCTGGCAAGAAAACCTTAATCAAATCTGTGTTCAAATATAGTATTAGTTCATTTGTTTTAATATTAGAACATATTTTGAATATAAAAATTTAATGATGTTAAAGCTAGATAATTTTCTAATTTCAAAAATGTATAGCAACAATTAGAAAGAGTAATATTGTAATAATAATAATAATTATAGCTAACACAAGTGTTGACTCTGTACCAGGCATATGTAATCCTCACAAACATACTCTGAGGTGGGTAATATTCTTATCCTTGATCTATACAAATTTAGTAAAATGGTTTATTATTTTCATTTTATCTTAAGTTTCTAATTGTATTGTCTGATTCAAACTTATTTGAAAAAATAGATTAAAAATGCAGTGCACATCTTCAATTTTCAATTTTTTTAAATAGAAAGACAGTGTCCTTTACTGAGAACAGAGGGACATCAGTTTACCCAGGACAACAGAGATAAGCTTGAAGTTTCAGGTAAGCATTATAATCCTTTGCAAAGAAGTGTTTGTATGAAATTCTCACCATATGTGTATTATATCGTAAGTGATTTTTTGACATTGTAATTTAAGATGATAACATCAATATGAGAAATTAAAAAGAAAGAAGATAAATGATGTGGAAAAAAGTGTTAAGAGCAGAGTACTATATTAACTAAGAACGGCTCAGCCTCTTGGAGGAAAAAAAAGTTATTTAAAATTATAGAAGTGTTGTATCCATTGTAGAAATTTTGAAAAAAGGAAAGGAAATTTATGAGAAAGTACTCACTACCCAAAGATAGCCAGGAGTCCCATTTTGGTGTACCATTCCTCTTTCTTTCTCTGTCTTCCTTTCTCCTCCCTCTCTTCCTCTCTCACACACATACATGTAATCATTAATACATATATTGAATTTGAAATCAAAGCATTGCCTCACGTCAATATATATTCTTCTAAGGCATGATTTTTTTTTAAAACAAGACTGCTTAAATTTCAATTCAATTGCTGTCATATTTTTAACTTAACTGATTTTCTGTCTTTAAACATCAGAAATGCTACAATGAGCTGCTCTGATTATTTTCTTAGGATAATTGCTAGGTCAAAGAAAATTAATATTTGAGGGGCGCCTGGGTGGCTCAGTTGGTTAAGCGACTGCTTTCGGCTCAGGTCATGATCCTGGAGTCCCTGGATCGAGTCCCGCATCAGGCTCCCTGCTCGGCAGGGAGTCTGCTTCTCCCTCTGACTCTCCTCCCTCTCATGTTCTCTGTCTCTCATTCTCTCTCAAATAAATAAATAAAATCTTTAAAAAAAAATTAATATTTGAGTCTTTTGAAACATATTTCATCCTCCTGTATACATACTAAAAGGAGAAAATTGAAATCAAGTAAGGACAACAAAAAAAGTTCTATTTAAAGATATCAGTATCTTTGTGGGTTTCCTAAATTTAACAAAACTACTGGATTAAATCATTTGTCACATTTTATAGGTTTTGACCTAGGAGAGAGCTTTTCTCTGAGACGTGCATTTTGTGAAGGTGATAAAACCTGTTTCAAATTGGGAAGTGCATTTCTTATTAGAGATACCATGTAAGTAAAATCATTTTTCTTTACATTTTAATAATACTATACAAACTATTTTATAAGGAAATTCCAAATAATTTGTTTAAAAAATAAAAATTTTCTCAATAGTATTGTACTTACTTGAATGCTGTGGTAAGTGAGTTGTTTTTATATTTGTTGTTTTTAATAATCTTTGCAATCTGATCTCATTCTGTGGTATAAATGCCATTCACCAATACAGATACAGGTGTAATCTTTGCAGAATAGTAATTAAATCCATTTTTTAAAATTTTATTTTATTATGTTATGTTAATCA